TCCACTGATGTTCCTGTTTAACAGTGTTGCCACTTACAGCTAAATCTTGGTCCCACTGACTTCAACAAAAGTTTGGCCACTGACTGTGTTGGGAACAGAATTTGGTCCTTGAAGAACCACATGGGGTAAGAATTGTGAAGCAAAGCAGAGCGCGACTGACACCCATGCTGTGAACAAAGGTACATTGTCTTATACAAAAGGTACCACCAATAGTACCGTGAATATATACACACTCTATATAGAAATGTATGTGTGTGACAGTTTGTTTTGTATGGAGGGAATCCACAGCTGCTCCTCTAGCATGAAAAAAACAAACCTCTTCTTCCAGCAATCAGCTGCTACCTGCGATTCTGAGAGCTGCAGCCAAAGTGATACACAGTTAAAGATAAAATGGATCACAGCTCCTGAAATCATCTTGAGCCACAGACTTGTATCCAAAGGCAGAGTATGAATAAAAGTGGTTTGACACAAGAACTGGGATGCTGATTGGTTGGTGACAGATTTATTTATATATGAGAGAGAGACACCTATCACTTATTGTACACACTGTGCAACACCCAGTAGGAATATCGATTATCGAAAACATCTGTTGCCAATTCTTGTCCCTATTCCATTTTTGGCACACTTCCTCCCTCCCATCATGGCTCTTATGTTCTTTATTAACTTGTTTATGTAGAGGCATCCTGGCTGATACGAGCACGGTTCCTGGAATGGAATTTAGGTTTGTTAGCTGACTGTTGCGGTATAGCACATTTTTCTTGTAAAATTACCTTTCTTGTGACTTACTGAAACATCCATGGTAACAGCTTGGACAGAGAGTCTCGTAAGGATATCCTCCTTAAAAGGCTGCAGCTACAACAGGAAGCTGTTTCATGTGCCTCAAACTTTGTGTGTCACTTGCTGACTTACTCTAGTCTGCTTTAGTCACAGGCTAGTTCCCTTCTAGAATCATTAGCAATTTATATTTCCCTAATATTTTCTCCCAGAGTAAGGTTACGAAATGAATTACTTTTGGCAGGGATATTGTGGGCTAGAATCAGCCTTGGGAAGAATATAAATCTGCACCACGAGGTAGTGATGGGTAAATCTCAAGGCTGTGTGACTTTGATACTTGACTAAGCCTCTTGTGTCTGAGAAATCCAACTGGAAATCTCATGAACTGACTCTCCTGATATTTCTGGTCCTTTCTGGCAGGCAAGCAGTGCCTTGGAAAAAATCCTCTCTTGTGATATTTGAGTATTTTGCTCCCAGTCCTGGCAGAGGCATGTTACTTGAACTTACTTAATGAAACTTCCAAGAAGGTCCTACTCAGTTTTGGGTAAGTTCTTTTTCTGAACTGGGTTTTCCATCCTTACTGCTGAGATCATCTGCCATCTTCCCTCCATGTCTCTTGTCTCACATTAAAATGGTACCATTGATTCTTATCTGACATATGTCCTGTCACTGAAGAAGTGCTGCTCTTGAATCTGACTAAATAGGAAAATATAAAGAGGCAGTGAGATCTAGAGCATGGGGACTCTAAAGACCTGGGTTCTATTCCTAGCTTTGCTGCTGGCATGTTGGGTGACCTTGGGCAGGTCACTTCACCTCTCTGTACCTTAATTTCCCCATGTGTGAATTGGGAATAATGATACCAACCTTCGTAACACACTGAGATCTGCTGATGAAAAGCTTGGTGGCATTATTTATTTATTTTTTATTTTATTAGAGGGAGAAGCAGGAGGTAGCTGGCAGTGGTACTAAAGGTGACCAGCAAAATAAGGGAAGAGGGGGAGTGCAGGAACTAAGGGCTGGTCTACACCCAGCCGCTAGTTCGGCGGCTGGGGATCGAAGTTCTGGGTTCGACTTATCGCGTCTGGTCTGGACGCGATAAGTCGAACCAGGAAGTGCTCGCCGTCGACTGCGGTACTCCAACTCGGCGAGAGGAGTACCGCGGAGTCGACGGGGAGCCTGCCTGCCGCGTGTGGACCTCGTCTGATCCGCGGTAAGTTCGAACTAAGGTATTTCGACTTCAGCTACGTTATTCACGTAGCTGAAGTTGCGTACCTTACTTCGACTTGGGGGGTTAGTGTAGACCAGGCCTAAGTCTGTGCCCTTTTTTGCTGCTTTGACATATAAAGAAGGCTTAAGAGGTTTTTTGTTGTTAATTTAATACAGGTTTTTTTGCACATTACCTACTCCGATTCTCCCTCCCCCCCCCACCTTTGTTTTGCACAAAGATGGCTTTTTCCAAGTGTTTAACTTAAACGGGTATCAATTAAAACAAATACAGAACAGAGTCTGGATAAAATAACTTCCTTGCTCAATCAGGTTTCACTTTAGTACTTGTGATGTCAGATTCCACTAGCTCTCCAGCTGTCCAGTGAGTCTTTCAAGGTAGAAAAGGCCTGAAATTCTGAAGTATAAAAAAGTAAGTAGAAAAAGCCATTTTTTGGTGGGAGGAAATAATTCCAGACTTCCTTTGTCCATCATAATAAAGCACAAACACATTTTGAAGTTTGCCTATTGAGCTTTGGGAAAGTGTGAAGATAAACATTTAGAAACATAATATATTGCATAAGAAACTCCAAACAAAACTCAAGGCAACCTCCTACCTCAAATAAGGCAGCAGTGTCCGGTATTTGGTTTCATATGTACGCTAACCCTTTGCACCCATGCAAATGTATAGCAGTGTAAATTGCATGCACTTTAAACTAGTGCATCTCTTCCCCTGAATGCCCCCAAATAAGCACGTTGACAAATGTCACTTGAGCAGATGGGAAAGGAGTGCCACCAGTTAAACTGCTGTATGTTTCAAATTTATTTTTAAGACAACTTAAGGCCATCTCTTACATTTCTCTCCAGAAAGACCAGCTTATTTGTTTGGTCACAAATACAATGAAGTAATAAATCTTATTGAACATGTGAAGTCTGCCTGCATTTCCTTTGGAGCATCTTTAGTGTTTGCACCAGCTCTTTCGCATAGTTTGCTAAGTGGTGGAGATGGGGAAAATCTATTGTACCTTCATATACAGCACAGTATGCTTACTGCAGGCTACTCTGAAGACCTTATTTATAAGGCATTTTGGATGGTGGTCTCAAATGAGTTGGTGAAAACATGTTTTCTGGATACACTGTCAGGAGTCTTGGTTGCACATGCATGTCAGAGTAGGTTCTGAAATGTGGCTTGGGATAGGGGAAGGAAGAGAGTGAGAGATCTCCAAAGTCTCTGACAAAAAGGCGTTCAAGGCTGGTTATAAGAATAGAGGGAAACCAAAAACACCTGACTCCTTAGGAGCATTTTAGGGGTTCATTATGACACTAACCCAACCCTAGAGGATAGTATTGTCAAGAGTTGCATGGTGGGAATGTTCTCACCTATGAATGTAACCACCTCTGGGACAGGTTGCTTGTGGGTATTAAACCTGGGGCTGTTTGGAACAAATGATGCCAGGCTCCCGAATGGCTGTCGTGGGCCATGCTCTGAACAGAAAGACATTGGTGCATTGTAATTAGAACAGTGTAAACCCTCCTAAATCTGGGGACACATTTAAGTCTTGTGGAGAAGAATAAAATATTGAACGAACTGCTGTTAGGTTAGTGAATACAGCGTATATCCTTTCCAAGGCCTAATTTGAGTGCATTTGAGGTTCATGTTGCACCTTTTCTGTAGTTCTAGTCTCCGGAAAGCATGAGCACAATATAAAGAGTTTATTGGAATGTTTTGGATATTTCTCTTGAAACAATTCTAGTATGCAAACTACAGTTAAGGTGTTCTCTTTTTCCAGCTCATGATTATGTGGGTCTGCCTTGTTGGACTAATCTAAGTTGAAACACCTTGTTCATGTAGCGTGCTTCCGTACTCTGTAATGCTCTCATGTGCTAACGTGAAGTCGCTGTAAACCAGCCTTCTATTCCTTGTCTGCTGGTTTTTTTTTTTTTTTTTTTTTTTTTTTTAAAATGGTCACTAGCCTGGCTTAACAAATAGGGAATTCTGGATGAGAAAACAAGAACTGGCTTTTTAATTGAGGGTTGGTTAGGGATGTGAAACAGTATCCCAGATTGTGCAGTGTAAAGAGAAACCCACCTGTTTGTATGAGATTCCATTAAAGAACAAGAAGGCGGGGGGGGGGGCATAATGGAGAACACTTTCACAGAGGTGATTACATATAACAAAAGAGGGGACAGCATTCCTTCCCAAAAGCAGCATTATGTGGTCTGATGTCCCCCTGAAACTTAACTTCCAAACTTCATTACTTGACAGTGGGACCTGAAATAACCTCTTGCTTTTTTCTTTCTTTGTTTCTTTTTCTTTTCTCTTTTCTCTCTCTTTTTTTTTTTTTTTTTGGGTAAGTATGTTCTTGCTTAAGGTTTAATTGGCTCCAGTCAGTAGGAAAGGGCTCCAAGGCTGATTATTTATGGCTTACTGTCAAAAGTAGCTATAAAAAGGGCAGTATTATCTTGGAGATGCTGGGAAGGAAAATGTGATGGGGGGAGGGAATGGGGGAGTGTGTGTGCGCACGAGTGTTTTCTTGTACTGGATGAAATCAGAGTTTTGCTGCCTCAGCAGTGTGGTTTAAATTGAAGATTAACCCTTTGACCTTCACGGTGTCAAATCACTTACAGATGGATCACCAGTTACTTTTTTTCACTTTTGGGGTGAAGAAGGGGGGTAACTTTTTTTTGAGCAAGTTGTTTGTTCATGCAGCTGGGGCTTTTGAGAGGCTCAGAAGCCAATCTGATTAAAAACAGCACTTGGCTAAACTCTGCAAAATCCTGCAAGCAGAAAAAGGTTTAATCCTCTTGTGCACAATGCATAAGGGTCTGCTTTTTTTTTAATATGTTAGAGCTATAATTATTTCTGGAGAACTTATCATTCTCCCCACCCCCTACCTCTTGTCGTGCTGATGGGATTAAAGTGTCTGCTCTTGAAAAGTAACTGAGTTTTTATTGGAAAAGATAAGTGGTATGTTACAATTGTAAAATATAAATAACCTTGTTTCAATCATTCTCCTTTACAGCATCAGCAGAACAGAAATCAAGTGTGGTGGCAGATCCTTCTCTTCCTACATAACTTGGCCTTAAATGTGGAGGCGAACAGGAACAACGTAGGTCAGAGGTGAGACTCCTCCACCTGTTCCAGGTCACATCCAGTCTGCAGGGAGCACTGAACAAACACTGGTCTGGGGGAGAGAGACATGCACACCGCCGGCCGGATGTGAGGACTCTGTCAAACTTTTACTCATCTTCTCAAGCTTTTTTTTTTTTTTTCCCCCCCCCCCCCCCAAGGACTCTTCTTTACTGCTTCTTGCCTAATGAGGTTGGGAGCTCTTGTCCAACACTGTTGAAGGAAAGTCTTAGAATTTGGATGTGTTTGGTAAAGCTTGCTGTTGATTCCCCAAATCAGTAACCTCTATGCAAGTGAGGCAGGTAGTAGATGAACAAGTTCCTCTGCTCTGTGTTGTTGGGGTTTTTTTTTTGTTTTTTAATTGATAGAATGCAGCGTTTTGTAATTTTGGCTGCTGGTTAATGATGGTGTCTGGGACTGATGGCTCTAAATGTTCTTTGGGCTTCTTCCAGATTAGAGACACTTGACTCCTCAATGGGATAACTTTTGAAAAAAGTTCTTTTTAGAAACAATTACACTTAAGTAGCTTATGTACAGCAGCAGGTGGGTCACTGTTTATTTCCCTGAATTTTATTACTAGGGAGACTTGTAAAAATCTAGTTTTGTTTAATGACTTAATTGGCCCAAGTTGGACATTCTTCACATGAAGTCGCTCTTTGTCATTGCCACTAATAGATGGAATTGTTTCTGTTAGAAGAAGAGTCTTCAGAATCTTTCAGAAGATGTTGGTGACTCTTCAGTATCTTTGTGCAAAGGGCTGTTTGGTCCTGTACGCTATATACTGTCCCCATAAACCAGGATAGAGCTGTTAAAGATGGAATATAATCTAAGCATCATTCTTCTGGAATTGTTAATCTGTATATTTTTGTTAGTGCTCTGGTGGATTTCCCCTCCCCCCCCAATCATGTGTGCTGTTAAGAAGATTCAGATCCCAAGCATCTGATATGTTTGCTTCATGATTTGACTAGGAGATTAGTTAGTAATTACTTTGAACCCCTACACTGCAGGTTTGTACAAGTAATCAGTCTATTATTCTAATGAGTAATGCTGGAAGTGATATTAGTGTACACTGACAACAGAAATACTACTTGGAGTGATAGCTCATTGTCATTGACTTGTGACTGTTCTGGTGTTTTTAAATCTGTTTGGCTGCCACTCTTGGAACAGGGATGCGGAACTACCTACCCCAAAAATTTGGGTTTCCTTTGTTTATGAAGTGTGAAATACTAAGGGAAAAGGATATAGCCTCTGCTTTCCACAGACTGTTTCCATACTTGCCCAGAGCTAATTCTAAATCACAAATTATAAAACTAACACTAGGAAAAATCTTTCTGGACAGTTGCCCTTCAGTCCTGCTACAGCTGTCAACACAGAGGGGTTCTGGAGCTCCTGGTCTGCTTTGAAGCCTAATGAACAGTAAAGAATCACTGTATTGGAAGAGGAGTTTTCTTGCACATTCTCCTTCCCCTCCACTTTCCCCCCTTTTCTTGCCCTTCTTTAAGTCTGTTTCCATCTCTGATATTTGTAATGACCCAGTTCCCATGTACCCTCAGTAACCCCATTAAAGTGCCTGGTAATGATTTGTAGCACACATTTGTATTTGGATGCTTCCCCTCTATTTCTCAATCCCATCTCTTGACTGGCATTCTTCTTTTTCATGGCAGGAGTTGTCTAGCCCCCTTCAAACCAGCTCCCAGGACCCTCTCAGTTTACACAGCTCTGCTGCGATCTTTCAGTACAAAAGGGGTTCCTCATGCAAACTGACTTTTTTTTCTCCCCCTAGCTAAAGCTACATTATTCAGAGTAATGTGTTCCTCTGGGATGGTCAGGAGTTCAGAACAATGATTCTTAAGTTAGCTTTGTTTCTTTTTAGTTAAGCACGTGCACTATGGAGTTATTCAGTGGGATGTAAGTGGTACCTGTCATTGATTACTTTGCAGCGGTACTGGAAGCTGCTACTTATTTACTGAAATACCTTCCATGGCTCTGCAAAACAGAGTCACTTGGGGTGTGTGGTGATTGGAGAACAGGGGTTTGTAGGAAGCAGGCCTGAGGGGTGGGGTAAGCACAGACTGGATAGAGGGGAGTGAGCCCTCGGAATCTGGAGCTTGGGGAGAGCCCACTTAGAACTGAAGGTGTAGCATAGGCAGCAGGTGGAGTCCCCCTTTGGGCAAATTAGTCCCTGGCTCCACTCCTTCCGCCTGCAGCTGGAGCGCTGAGGACCCCCTCCCCCTCCCTCCGGCAGCCAGAGCCACAAACCCCCGCCCAGAGAAGCCCCAAGCACACACACACACCCTTGACCAGAGGAGCCCCGGGCTAGCTGCAGCCGCGCCTCTCCTCCCCTCTCCAGACCCAAGCGGCCTGGAGGAAAAGCGTCTCTCTTCAAAGACGCTTTTGATATGCCCCATGCAGGTTCTGGGGCAGCTGAGGAGGCAGTATTTGCTACTCAGCTTCCTGGGTTCATCAGTAATCTCCCTAGAGTCCAGAGAGATTACTGATGAACCCAGGAAGCTGAATAGCACATACTGCCTCCTCAGCCACACCGGAACCTGCATGGGGCATAATAAAGCAAAAACTTCACCACCAAACCCCGCAACCTGGGGTCCGGCGGCCGGGGAGGCCTATTATACCCACTGCTCATGAGGTGTAGGCTTGTCAAGGAAACTCTGAGGGAGAGGGGAGTGGAGCTTTAGAGGTTGCAGTGGGGAAAGGAATGAAACAAAGCTGTCAGCCAGTATGGTGCAGACATAGGTAATGCACACTCATTTCCCCACTGATTGGCTGAAATCCTTTCATCCCATCACAGAGGGGTCAGATTAATAACAGCCTTATGAAGTGTGCAAAGATTGGGCAAGCCCATCTGACTTTAGAACACTACTTTATCACCATATCAAGAAATCAAACTAGCATCATCTTTCTTCCTTAAATTCCAGCCTGGTCAGTTAAACTCCAAAGCAAATAAGTCTCCCTGGACTGCTCAGCCAACCATGATAGAAGTGTAAGATGAAAAAGTAAGTTTGATATAGGTACTTAATGATGGTCTGCCCTCACTAGCTTATTCTGTAATAACACCCTTCTTAGTGGGGGGAATAAATGGCTGAAATAGTTTTGTAGACCATCTAACTGTACAGAATTGTTTGGCTCACGGAGAGATGGAGCCTTTCCTGGCCATGATGTCCACTGCTAGCAATGGATTTATCAAAACTGTCTATTCCAAGGTCTTAAGTTGGAATCCACTTGTTCCTGTATTTGTAGTGAAGGCTGGAATATAAACAAGACTTCACTGTAGTTACAAGACTAGTCCTAGACAAAGTCTGACTCCTGCAACATGCGTGCTGCTGCCTTTAACAAGAGGTTTGACAACCACTGATGTTTTTGAGGGGTAGCCGTGTTAGTCTGTATCAGTAAAAACAACGAGGAGTCCTTGTGGCTCCTTAGAGATTAACAAATGTATTTGGGCATAAGCTTTAACCCACTTCATCATATGCATGGAGTGGAAAATACAGTAAGCAGGTATAAATATACAGCACATGAAAAGATGGGAGTTGCCTTACCAAGTGGGGGGTCAGTGCTAACGAGGCCAATTCAGTTAGGGTGGATGTAGCCCATTCCCAACAGTTGACAAAAAGGTGTGAGTAACAACAGAAGGAAAATTATTTTTTGTAGTGACCCAACCACTCCCAGTCTTTATGCAGGCCTAATTTGATGGTGCCACACCATCAGGGGCTCGTTCACCTGCACATCTATCGATGTGATATATGCCATCATGTGCCAGCAATGCCTCTCTGCTATGTACATTGGCCAAACCAGACAATCTCTATGCAAAAGAATAAATAGATACAAATCAGACATCAAGAATTGTAATATTAAAAAACCAGTAGGAGAGCACTTCAATCTCCCTGGACACTCAATAACAGACTTAAAAGTGGCCATTCTTCAACAAAAAAAACCTTCAAAAACAGACTTCAATGAGAAGCTGCAGAACTGGAATTAATTTGCATACTTGACACCATCAAATTAGGCCTGAATAAAGACTGGGTCACTACAAAAATTAATTTTTCTTCTGATACTCTCACCTTCTTGTCAACTGTTGGGAATGGGCCACATCCACTCTAATTGAATTGGCCTTATTAGCACTGACCCCCCACTTGGTAAGGCAACCCCCATCTTTTCATGTGCTGTATATTTATACCTGCTTACTGTATTTTCCACTCCCTGCATCTGATGAAGTGGGTTATAGTCCATGAAAGCTTATGCCCAAATAAATTTTAGTCTCTAAGGTGCCACAAGGACTCCTCATTTTTACTGATGTTTTTTCTTTAACAAAGGAACCAGGGTTCTATCCACCCTAAACCTAAGGATCTTAATCTACTTCTTTGATGTCCAGGGGGATTTTGCTATTGACTCCAAAGGGAGCAGGATTTGGTCACTACTTAACAGCTCATCTTCTTCAGGAAATAATGGATTGTTATCTAGAGTTGTTCCCTTCCTTTGCCCAACCATATGGTTCTGTTGCCTCCAGATAAGTAGGGAGGGTAGGGCAGGGCCGGCGCAACCCATTAGGTGACCTAGGCGGACAGCTAGGGCGCTACAATTTGGGGGGCGGTGACCGCGGTGGTATTTCGGCGGCGGGACCTTCCGCCACCTCTGTGGGGGGCGGCATTTCGGGGCGGGACCTTCCGCCACCTAGAGTGGCAGAAAAGCTGGCGGCGCTCCTGGGGTAGGGCTACTATCAGCCTCCCTTAAATTTCTACAGTATAGTTTAGCAGCACATGCACTTCATCTGTGCACTGTTTGCCACCCATTCTGTCTAGGCAAGGCCCACTTCAGTATGTACTTCTGTTGAGAAAATCCTTCCCTCAAAGTGCTTATTACAGTCTGAGCACAGTTAGAAATACTATATGTGGATGGGTTAGGGAAGTATTTTCAATTAGCAAGGCCTAAATCTGGTGGGGGGAGGGGCAATTCTTGAATGATTTAATTGGTGGTTTGCCTGAGTGAAGGGGTGCGATTTCAGTTTTCAGCTCCTTTTCTATATACTCAAACACTAGTGAAGTGTCTCTAACAATTTAGAGAACAGTTGGCTTTCTCCTAAAGTTACTTCTAGTTTAATGGGCAACAGTCAAGACAACTTGAGTTTCAGCTGACAGCACCTACCGTGTTTGAAGTCTGTCTCCCTTTCCAGGATCACTAAATTGCTTCTGACCCTGACATTCTTGACTTGAGAGAGGAGAGAATTTATTTCTGTATCTCTCCCTCCTGCCTCTTCAAACCTCTCTCTTGTAACCTAAACCTTACCTGGATCCAGTGAGCCTGGTGCTAGTGGGTGTTAGTCTTACTCTGTTTCCTG